AAGACCACCTGCGCGTCATCTCCATGCAAAAGGGGGGCAAAATGAGGGAGGTGTTCACGCGCTTCTGCAAGGGCCTCACCCAGGAGGGGCTCCACGTGAGCACGCCTGGCCGGGGTCCCCAGCCACACCTCCCTCGGAGATGCCGGCCGGGAGCCCCCTCTGAAAACCGCGCCTCCGCCCCCAGATCGAGAGCCTGTTCAAGGCCAGGAAATACGAGTTCATGTGGAACCCGCACCTGGGCTACATCCTCACCTGCCCCTACAACCTGGGCACCGGGCTGCACGCGGGCGTGCACGACAAGCTGCCGCACCTGGGCAAGAACGAGAAGTTCCCCGAGGTGCTCAAGCGGCTCCGGCTCCAAAAGCGGGGAACAGGTGAGGGGGGGCCCCGGGGCCGGACGCCAGAGGCCCGCAGACGGCCCCCGTGGTGCTGACCGGCCGCCGGCCCGCGCTCCCCAGGCGGGGTGGACACGGCCGCCGTGGGCGGCGTCTTCGACATCTCCAACGCCGACCGCCTGGGCTTCTCGGAGGTGGAGCTGGTGCAGATGGTGGTGGACGGCGTGAAGCTGCTCATCGAGATGGAGCAGCGGCTGGAGCAGAGCCAGACCCTTGACGACCTCATGCCCGCCCAGAAGTGAGGCCGCCCGCCGCCCGCCGGCCGCTCCCGCTCGCTCCCTAACGCATTGCCGGCCGCGCGCCGCACTCCCCTGCGCCCGCCGCCCCGGCCCAGCCCTCCGCCTTGCCGTAGACGCCCGGCGCCCGGGCAGAGTTTATTTTTTGGATGGCTAAGCTGTTGCTGAAATAAACCAGGGTCTGGCCTGCCCGGTGTCCGACGCCTTTCTTGGGGAAGCTGTCAGGGAGCGCGGGGGTCCCGAGGCCTGGTCGCCCCGCGCCAGGCCCCGCCGGGCCGGCCCCGGTGCGCGGGTGCGCGGGACAGGCCGGTCAGGCGGGGGCGCCGCCGCCGAGGCTGCATGAGCATCTAAGGACATTTGGCTGCGGGAGGCGGAGCCTGGCGCTCTCCCCGGTCCCGTGGTGCGGATGGAGGCAGAAACTTGATACTTTTCCAGTTCCTTCTCCCTCTTCCTGGCAGCCCTCATGA